CTGGGGCGTCGCCAGTGTCTTTTCGGGGTAGCTGCTCCCTATGGGCAGTGGCTAGAAGAGGTAGTTGGGTCAGCGTGCGGGGCTGGTGGGCACCTGGTCCCCAGTATGGGGACGGCTCACAGGCGGCTGTCCTTGCTGTCCCCATTGAGCAGGCTCAGGGGGTTGATTTGCAGCGTGAGCCACTCGTTGGTGCTGAGGCTGGGGATGAGGGGCAGCGTCCCCAGGAGGTCAGTGTTGAAGATGCTCAGGTCGAAGGGAGCTTTCAGGAGCTCGGGGACAGCTTTGGAGGCCAAGGGAGCACCCGGAGCCCCATAGCTCAGGAGAGTGGGGGCTCGGGGCCCCACATGGCTGGAAAAGTCCCAGGCAGTGAGCTCCTGAGGGGGCCCCCATGGAGCAAGGTCCTGTCTGTGGCTGCGGGGATGCTCAGGAGAGGACTGCTTCAAATACCCTTTGGCCACAGCCAGCTCGGAGCGCTCCTCATCCAGCACGATGTCAGTGCTGCCCGGGCCCTGCGGCGGTCCTGCACAGCCCAAGAAGGGCACCTCCTTGGCTGCGTCCTGCCTTGCCTCCACCGTGCCCTTGGACTGCTGCAGGTACCCACGGAACTCCACGTCTTGCTGGCTGTCCTGGCCGGCGGCAGGGGCGGGGCGAGCAGGGGAGAGGCCAAGCTCCCCTCCGCGGGGCTGCCTGGCCTCTGCGGGGCTGGCCTTCCCGCTGCCGGAGGAGCATGTGGGGCGAAGGCAGGTACCCTCCAAGCCCATGCCGCTGTCATCGCCAGTGGGCAGCTGCCGCTTGTAGCCCTGGGGCTCGGGGCCTGAGGAGCAGCTCAGTTCAGAGGAGGAGGTGTGCAGGCAAATGCCGCTGTCGGTGCTGGTGCAGCTGCTGTCTCCGCTCCCCATGGCCCCCGGCCCCAGCAGGCACACCCAGTCCTTGGGCCACACTGGGAGCCTCCAGCCCTTTTCCAGGGGCAGCTGGGCTATGCCGGTGCTACCATCCAGGCCGCTGTGCTGCTGTGACTCCTTCTGGCACAGGAACAGCTGCTGGACAGAGTCTGCGTCCGGGCTGCCCGAGGATGAGGACTCCTGCTCCACCCAGAGCGAGCTCTGCTTTATGAAAGACTTCTGGGAGGGAGAGAAAAGAGGGGAGTGAGCCGTGCTTCATCCCTGCTTGTTGCCTGCCTCTCCCAACAGCTACCCAAGCCTGCACCCTCGCACTGGCTGCAAAGGGTGCCGCGTGCCCAGCTGCCTTACCAGGACGGACGGCGGCCTCACAGGTTTCTTGATGTAGGTGCACACCAGCAGAGCTCCCAGGAGGCCCAAGAGCAACATGGTGATGAAGGAGGAGCTGATGGTGCTCAGGACAAACTCTGCACTCCCTGCAAGAGAGGACGTGCTCAGGTGAGGAGGAAAGGCAGCATAGCATATAGCGCATAGCATATAGCGCATAGCATACAGCACATAGCACGAAGGCCCTGCAGCGGCGGCACGGAGCTGCTGCCCTGGTGCGGACCCCCACGCCTCCAGGGCCAGGAGGCTGAGGAGGATCTGTGTCCTGCAAGGCCCCCCTTCCCTGGCTCCCCTGCCACTTACTGTCTTTCTTGCTGATGGTGACACACTCCTCGTTGGTGCGTGTGGCGTGGGTGCGCCGGCTGGCCACGTTGGGCTCCACGCTGATGCAGTACTCCGTGTCCCAGAAGAGGTTGCTGATGTTGAACGCCGGGGTGTTCTCCAGCACTTCGTACTGCAATGACCAGAGTGCGGGCTGGTACCCGAGAGCCCAGAGCCCCCAGCTCCTGTGGGAGTCGGTAGCCCCGTGCTTTCCTCCCTTCTCCTCCACTATCCCCTGGGGAAAGTCCCCAGGGTGCTTAGCAATATGGCTGACAGCAGCTAGACCCAAAATCCCAACAAGAGTTGGGGAACCTACTGCAATAAAACATGCAGAGGAATCTCTCTGCGATGTGGTGGCTGTGAGAATGCTCGATATTAAGTTTTACAGAAGACTGTGCTTTAAAAATGTGTTTTTCAACTTGAGCAGCGCTGCGTGTGACAGATGGGGACAGCACTCATCTCACCGTCCGATTGTCCTGCGCCCTCCTGACGTACACCCGGTATCGCCTCGTGTGCTTCTGTATGTTGTCGTATTTCACGGTGAGGTTCCCCACCCTGAGGAGAAGCTGCAGCTGCACGTGGATGGTGTTGCCTGTCACAGAGAGGCTCTGGCCCGACAGGCGCAGGCTGGCTGGAAACAAGTCAGTTGGAAGAGCACTTTAGGGTTTTCTCCTGTTCGCAGCTCTAAGAGCCTTTGCAGTGGACTGAGCTGTGACTGTTCCTCGCAGCCAGTGCTGCCTGTCCTAGGTTTGGCCCATCCCATCCCATCCCGCAGCCCGGCTGCCCTCCAGGAAGGTATGAAGAGGGAAACATCCCTGCTCTCATCTGTCCCAAAGTTCTTCCCAAGCAGTTTGGCACCCTGACCTCTGCCATCCTCGAAGCCTCCTGCCTCCAGCCGCAGGGTGGAGGCAGACACCCGACCTACCTTCTTCCGGGGAGAAACTGTTGGTCCTTTGCCATGGGGACGTGTGGTTTCCAGACACGGCCCTGACCCGTGCATAGTAGCGCTGTCCAGGATCCAGGGTGTAGTACGTGAGGTCGCAGGAGTGCCCCGAGATCTTCATGCAGTTTGGGATGGCTGCCCAGGAGAAATTCGTGCCATAGCTGCAGGGAGAAGCGCTTGGGGTGAGAGCAGTGTGGGCGGGTGCCAGGGACTCGGTTGTCACTGCTGTATCTGCCGGTATCGGATCCCGGGCCGAACCCCCTTGCACCCCCATCGCTGTACTCACACTTTATGCTCCACTTCGTAGCGGACATCACTGGAGTAGTTGTGTCCTGGCTCCCACCGCAGCAGGTGATGTGCTATCTCCGCAGCAAAGCGCACGCGCGTGGGCCTCGCCAGCTTCTCACCTGCGGGACCGAAGGCAAGCGTTAGGCGAGGCTGCACGGCGTCCTGTCCCATCCCGCTGGTGCCCGCAGGAGCTGGGCAGAGCTCCTTGCAATTGTCTCCTCAATGGCTCGCCTGGAGCTCGACCCCCTGTGTTCAGCAGTGACCACCCACCCACCTGAAAAGCGCAAGGATTTGCCCAGGCCTGTCCCACTTCCAAGTTTCAGCATTTGCTTGTCCCCCTCTTTTCCTTCCTCTCTCTTCTGGGGAGAGCCCAGCTCAGCCCCACCGAGAGGATCTCGGTGCTTTTCCGGCCCAAGAAAGGAGCCTGCTGTATTTGCATCCCTGACTGCCCCTGCCGTTTGCTAGCAGCTCGGTTTGGATTTAGCTTTCCTGTTTTGCTTATCTGCTGTCTGGAAGAAATAGACTTTTTCACACCTCCTGCCTGAATTTCGGTATTGTTGCCTGGCAGCAAAGCATATCCGTCACCCTTTCTGTGCTGGTTTCCTCGGCAGCTGCTGTCTGCCAGCAAACGCTAAGCCGCGCCGCTGCCCGGGGAGGATGGCTGTCAGCAGAGCACTGCGCTCGCAACCGGGCCCTTTCACCGCAATACAGGGCACCATGGTCCACACTGGTGGAGATAAGCAAGGCTGACGCCTGAGGACTAATACAGTCTTTAGGCTCCCAAACAGCGAAGAAAGACGAGTGGTGAGCAGGGAGCCCTGGCCGTGTCCTGCTCCAAGCAGGCAGGAGCCCCCAGGCACCGCCAGCCTGAGCACTGACCAGCCCCCAAAGGTGTCCGAACTGCAGCTCCAAACCACAGCAGCTCCGCTCACCACCTGCCCTGCATGGCTTCCCCCATCTCGGTCCCCAGCCTGGCGCCGGGATCTTGGGTGCGGAGGGGAGCAGAGCTGCGGGCCGGGAGCCGTGGGGCTCAGACACAGAGAGCGGGGAGCTGAAGACCAGCGTGGTGTGGGCAAGAGAAACTCACCGTCCGTCCGCCGGGCGAGGAACAGTGCCACGTACAGTGCCAGGGCTGTGGCGGAGGGGGCCATGCCGGCTCAGCATCCTCTGCGGGCGCTGGGCTGAGCGAGCAGGGTGCCGAGCTCTGCTCTGGCGGGCTGCCGAACGCTTGTTTTTCCCCTGGAGGCTGGCTC